AGGTAAGCCCCTGTCATCGTTAGCTCACTCATATTTCCCTGATGTTTCCTATGTAATGTTTTACAAGGAGCTGGTAGAAAGAAAAAGGTAGCATGTAGTGGAGAAATATCAGGAAGTATTTTTTTGGACTTAAAGTTCCTCCCGAGAAATTTAAGTGTTAGAGGTTGAAAGGGAAAGCGAAATTGTGGTTTTAGAAAGAGCACAAGTATTGATTAATAGAAATTAAAGTTTATTTTTAGCACAGTATATACTCTACAGATCAGGCTCAGAAGTATTCTACAGTTAAATGCAGAAGTTTGTAACTGGGTGATTGATGAGTACAAATAATTTCTCCTGTCCGTGGCTGAGCTGCTCAATCTAGTGCATGGGTTGAAAAATCCCACAGGCAAACTCTGGGTGCACATGGCAGAGTCGGGGAAGTGGGGGGGGGGGGGGGGGAACAGGGACAGGAAAGGTATGTTTTCCAGAATTATCGAAGGTTTTGAGCCTGTCTGATTGGATTTCATCTGCTCTTGTCCTCAGTCTTGAAAGATGGTGTGCCCATTACAGCCAGGATGTTCTCTCTGGGGTATATTCCCTCTCCTTTCTCACCAGATTGCTGCTCAAGATTCACTGCTAATGTGACAGCTAAAATAAATCAAGAAATATTTAATGGTGAAATTGAGAAAGAATGGAGGCAGATGGGGACATTTAGAAATAATAAAACCCCCATTACTTACTGATTTTTGTAACTGTTTCAAATATGTGTCTATATATATGTCTCCTCACATTCTGCTTATTCTTTGATTGTTATCATTTTGGCATAGGAGCATGTATGCTTGGGCAGCACCTCACATGAGTTCATCCCTACTTCTGAAAGATATCCCCATTTCTGATTTTTTTTTTTTTATTCATATAAATAAACCTTCTCTTGTCTAATTCCAGGATCCAGTAAAGCTGTAGGCATTAATTTTTCCTTTATGCTATAATAAAATAAGATTCTTTTAAAAATAATGTATAAGTAACTTGTGGAATTCCGTGGCTCCAGATAAGAACTTTGTAGGATTTAAAAACAGATTAGATACTTATACAAATTTTATGTGCCTTTACACTAGCCAGGATAAAAGTTCACAACGAAGGTAGGCTTTCATGCTTCAGAACAAGAATCAACCACTGTCTGGGGCTGCAGAGAAATTTTCCTCCAGCCACATAATGATGCAGTCCTTTAAAGATGATTTCTACCTTTGCTGAAGCATCTGGTACTAACTGTTAACTGAAGTCAGGGTAAGGCATGCGAGGAACTATGGGATTTCTGTATTGCTAAGGAGCAGACATCACTTCGTTTGGAACAGACACTTCTAGCCTGAGTTAAAGCAGTCTAGAAGTAATGGAATAGTTCAATGGTATTTAAGGAGTCAGAATGAACTGAGGACCAAAATTAAGGTCACACTGTAAGCATGTACTTGATAAGAGTACACAGCTACCTTAGGATTTGCCAGACCTTATCTTTTTATCTCAAATGGAAAATATTTTACATAATTAAGCTACAGCCAAACTAGAAATTTGTTCCTTTAAAATTTAGTTAATGAAATACTGTACTGGCAAATAATACTTGTGTGACATGACACACTAAAGAACACTGGAAGGTGAGGGGAAATAAAGGTTGCAAAATAATTTAGTAAGCCTAACTGTGTTTGAAAAAAATGCTTCTGATTAGACTTCTTCTTTGGCACCATTTTTCATCATGGGTGGTCTTTAATTCAAGACCCAATGATTGCATAGAAGACAAACTATATATCACACAGAAGTATTAAGGTTACTGGAGAAATTGCTGGGTGAAGTTGTATAGCGTATATAACATGGGGGGTCAGAAAAGATGATTGTTATAATTCTTTCTCAATTTAAGTTCTATCAGTCTTCTAAGTGTCCAGATTTCTACAGGTAAGTAACAAAACAGTATAACTTGTACTTGGAAGAAAATGGAATGTAAAATTGTTAATTTGTAAGAGCTGTGTCCTGGCTGTCTCTGAAACATCAAATTAAACTGAAATTTCACTATACTCAGAAGAGAAATACAGGTGCAAGACTGAAGTAAAAGAGAGAACAGCCAGCACTGTAAGCGGTACAAATAACAGGGGCATGCACCTTACCTATGCACAAACCATCATAGTAATAGCTGCCATGGAAGGTTATGATCTCAAAGAGATCTGTTCAAGGTAGTAAACTTGAATATAACTGTGTGCCACAGAAGACACAGACACATGGACTACTCAAAAGGACAAAAGAGAACAACTAGTTCTTTTGCTCTTAACCATTAACTGTCTCCCAGAGAATACTGCAAATACACTATGATCACAGCTTGAAAACACACAGTTATGAGTTTACTGATTACTTGTCTTCATTTTCACAATGTGGGCCAAAATGCTGCTTTCACTAAGCTTCTTCCCATGTGTGGGTGGAAACCACTAGTTCTCTGTAGACTCTTGGTTTATTTTTTGGTGCATCGTTGTCAGTTGGTCAGTCCACTTCCCTTTAAGAACATGAGAGGTATCATTCCTGTAGGAGGAGAGGGTAAACCAAAAATAAACCAGAACAGATCCTGTGGAGAGTGAAAATGGAGCTGGATGTGTAAATCAGGATTAAACTGCAAAACCAAAGCAGAAATACAGTTCTTTGTTATCCAGAAATTCTTTGAGCCTATGATAGTATAGTTTCTTCTCTCTTGGAATATCTCCTAATTAATTTGTCCTGTTGATTGCTTTTTGTGCTCCAGAATGTAAGACATATATGATGAACATATCATGGAAAAGATAAAGAGCTTGTGCAATTCTGTTACTCTAACACTAATAATTGAGTACAACTTCATTTCAAATTATAGGTTGATTCTCTGGTTTTGTGGCCATATCACTTCAGATCACTCTTTTTCTCCTTATTCAGATCCTCATTCTGTATTCTATAGCCAACCAGAAAGTTTTTATGAGATCCACTTGTATAAGGAGAAAAATGTATAATTTGCTATCATAATGTTATGAATTCTAGATACATACATTAGAAAAAGTTTTCCCAACATACGATTTCACTGTGTAAAACTGATAGCTAATTGAAATAGAACATTTTATAATAGATCCAAAATACCTGTAAATTGCCTACCTAGTACAGACACGGTGAATAAGAAGCAATGATTTTGAGTTAATTGATGAAAATAAATGAAAGTTGTAGCTAGCTAGAGAGTTGAGGCAGAATTCTGCCTGCTGGTGCAAAAAGGAGTCAGTGGCCAGGATTTTCTTTGCCATCTGAGCTCCTGATATTCTCAAGTAGCTTGAATTGTGAAGAGTGCTTAGAGAGAGCAATCTCTCCACAGTGGAGAGCATAAGACCTACACAACCTTTCTGCAGCTCCTGTTGAATTACTCAAACACTGGCTGGGCATACTGGCCCCTTCTGCAAGTAACATATACTAATTTTTCCCCTAGGTTTTTCATTGGCTTTCAAGTCCAAAGGGTAGGCAGAAAGAAGGAATTGCTCTTTCTGGAGCACCCTTGGCTTAATATGTTTTGGGTTTTCCTCTCCCTTTTTTTTTTTTTTTCCAGAGCAATTTTGTCCCCTCCCTTTAATCTCTCTCAGTAACAGGGAATGTAGAAGCTGTCTGTAACAATACTAGGCAAGTATTTTTCCATTCCAAACAGTGGAACAGAGTCTGATGGTACCCCTCTAAAGAAGTATACAAAACCTTTAGGTGGCAGCCAAGGGCTACAGTTTGAATCGTAGATTTATTGGTTGTGTGGTTTATGGTCTCTGCTTCAGGTGGCAAAGAGGGTATGATGACAAATGAATTTCTAATCCATCCAGAAGTAAAGCAGAAGAAATTTCACACAGGTAAAACAATTTCTAAAAAGCTGGATATGTCTGGATATACAGAAATGCACCTGGAACCTCTGTGGACCTCTGCCACCCTCTGTTTCTTTCAAAATACTTTTAAAAGCACACCCTAAAGCTTAACTAACATCATATCTCTATTGATACATTTGTTAGAAAAATGTCATTCAATATAATGCTTTCATGTTTTATTCAGAACATGAATGATAATGTGTGTCTGGACCTGGGAGGAGGTTGGAAACATTTGGTGGTCCCCTGACACGCACCTCCTCTGGCACTGTAATGCCTCAACAAGTCTCCTGGGCAATTTGGGGCATGCTGTGGAAGGCTTCATGCCTAAAGATGGTCATTCAAATGATATCTTCAGAGATTGTAATTCAGGCTTGTTATCCCCATGCCACTCTAAAACAGAGCTTTGTGATGTTATGTAAAAGAAAAAAGAATGGACTTGTCAAAATCCCGAGGTTAGTTTGCTGCAATTATGTAGTAGCCATGTTGAAATTCTGCTGAAATATATCCTTACAATGTGTTATTAAGTCATCTAAAAATATCAAAATATTTGGCAATGAAGGTAAAACTATTTGAAAGAAACTGTAGACTCCAGAGATTTTCTTTTAGGCAAGAAAATGCATCTTTGTTTTTACAAATAGCTGCGCAATGATACCTTTTGGTATAGAATTTACTTTTTAAAATACTTACTGTCATTTTCATGCAAGAAAATATAGCCACATTTTATTATGTATTTGGGAAGTGAAAACCAGAAAATGAGAGATTTACAAATAACCTCATCTGTTTATTATACTGTTCCCAAATTTTTCTTTGTCATTAGCAATCACAAGCAGCTACAAATCATGTTGTCCACCTCTGCATTCTCATGCAGCATGCATCATCTCATCATCGTACAGATAGGCTGAAGTATTGAACGTTGTGGTGCCAGGAACTTACACACGTGCAGAACAAACATCCAAGTTCAGCAGTGAGACAAATACTTGTACCCTGATTGCACACCAAATGTTAAAAATCAAGTACTTTAACTTAAATGACTAATGGTTCAATGACTAACAAAATTGGTTTACATCAAGATTTGCATTAGAATATATATAACTTCTTTTCACAGTGTTTGTGAATGTGTCAGGTCTGTCTTAGTGTGTAGGTATTTATTAGGTAAGATGCAGTTTTTCTCCCTTTCCTTTCTCTGTTTTCACATTCTCTATTTTGTGTGAACCCATGTAAATGACTGAAGCCATATGTAAGTACCATTTCCACTATTTCTGAATCTTCAGGTACAAGCAAGGGTCTCTCCAGAAGACTTCCAGCTGTTTAACACACACTTGGACTAGAGCTAGTACATCTGCCTCCCTGCAGAGCCTGTTTGTTGGTTTTTGTCTAGTTAGCTCTGAGCAGAAGCAGAGTGAAAGGAACAAGTAACTGAGCCTGGCCTTTCCCACCTGTGGAGAGGTGCCCTGATTTTCTTATTAAGGTTGTATCCCCTTCCTCTCCTTTGTTGCTGCATACTAGTTCACCTCCCATGGGGTAGAAAAGGGCAGACATGCTTTACAAATTCTTTGCTTTTTAATTATTCACTCCCATCATCTGGCTAAAGCTTCCTCTCATCAAGTTCCTACTTGACTAGCTACAAGATGTCTGCATTCACCTCCAGGAAGCAAAGAAAGAATAAGGCATCTAATTCACATGGTTGAAATTACTTAGGAAACAGAATGGTCTGTGCTGATGTGGAATATAGCCAAGATACTATAAAAGATGCCCTTGTTATTCAAGAGGCACCAATAGATGTTTACATGATAAAAAAGATAAAGACAAAAGTTTTCCAGTCAGGAGACACCCACTCCTCTTGCATGTATATTCCTTATTACTGGCATTTTGTTTGTTCATCTAACAAAACATAGGAGGCTGGCTTACTAAAAGCTGAGTTACTAAATGATCTACTTACTTTTTTTGTTAAATAATTTATTACTGCATAAACATATTTTTTTTCCAATTAAAAAATGCCCATCACCTCCTATTCAGCTTTGCAGTCTCTCTTGGTGTAAATTTTCTTTGGAGGCTCTGTCTCGTGACACTGGTTTTGTAAGTGACACTGACCAGCTGGGCATTTATCCACTGTCTTGTGCTGAGCCACATGGAGATGTTTTGTGACACACTTCCCTGCCTGGGAAATATCTGGGATATGGGGGTGGTTTAAAATGTTTGTTTGAGTAAGATGAGAAATGATCTCACAAGTTGCCGGAAAGGAGCTTAGTGCAATGGGAGCTAAGAGAGGACGTGTCCAGTATGGTGAAGAAGGAATTACTCATCAGCTCATATAAATAACAATAGCAGGTGTGGGTAATTGCACTTTAGTAAAATTGTATTTGAAAGCAGTTAAGTTGTAGTTTCTTAGCAACCGCGGCTGACAGCCACATTTTACGTGGCCAAGGCTTTTCAATTATGCAACACCCATACCCTGCTATGCAACAGCATTAAATGGGGAGAAACACCAAAGCAGAAGTATTTTTACTCTCTAAACAGAAACACAACAGAAGGCCAGAGCCACAGAGCAGGTGATGAAGTAGAAAAAGCAGAAATTACATTTACATTTCCAGGTAAGCTTTTTCAGGAAGAGCTGCTCAGTAAGCACTGCATGATCCTACTCAATGCAACGGATAGAGTTTAGGGAATGCTGTCAGGGGGATAATTTGTATTTAGGTAACTTTGTTATTTTGTTAACACATTGTTATGTCTTTTTTCTGCATCTGTCATGTAAAATCTCTCTGTGTGTATATATAAGGGTGCATGTGAAGGATTTTATTTTATGTGAATGAGTGTTTCTATGTTTAGCGTGAAATGTAAATGTTATAATTAATGTTCATCCCTTAAGACCATGCTGCTAACAAGATGATTTTGAATGTTGGATAAGGACGTTTCATAGAAGACTGTGCTAAAGCTAAGAAGGGATGAAGAAGCTTTAAAGAGAAGTCTGAAGGGTTTTTTTCCAGTTCATACAAATTTACATTTGGCTAATTCATCTTGTAGTGTCTGTGTTGTATTCAATTCCTTATGGATGCTCCACAGAAAGCACTATTTCTGATTGTTAATATTATCCCAAGTTAGCTAGGTCTTATCCTAGTAGTTGATAACATGCTCTTAATTCATTATCCATAAGGCCAGCAAAAAGTCATGTATATTTTCTGGCAATACATAGGCTTAGATACATTGTCCTGGAGACAAGTTCCTCAACTCAAGATGGAAAAGCTGCTGTATTAGTTAACGCACTCTCTATATTAACAAACTTCAAATTCTGGGCCTGTGCCCTAACTTCTGGTTTACTATTTTGGTGGGTGTGAATGTCTGTCTGTCTCTTGCATGGTATAGTATATTATGCCCTTATTTCAGCTCTGTAAAACTATTCTTAATTTTTAAAAGTAAAACTTTTGTATGTGGAAGAACAGTAATTGCCTTCTACAAGTTTTAAAACACCTTCGGTATTTCCTTATTTTCTTCCAAGTGCAAAGCATTTTTATCTGGCCTAGCATTGTTTAACATAGATATATATAAAACAACCTGTTCTAACATGACACCCCACCGTGTCCTTCATGAGGAAAGTGTAGCGTTTGTTTAGAATGAGATGAGGCTATATAAAATATATACAGTACCAAAGACTAATAAATAGTAATAAGGTTCTTTTTTTGATCAGCTTACACTGTTTAACTTTTACCTGACGTATTCTCATACAACCTTTAGAAAGACACATATTCCAGCATAACCACAGTTAAAAATCACTTAGTTGTTATGTGATCCAAAACACCTAGAGTGTTCTCAGGGGCTTCCTATGGTGTCTCCACACGCTTAGAGAGTCTTTGGATTTAAAGGGTAAAGGTAATTTATCCATGTCTATTTGCTATTAGATGGCTACTCTCCGTATATTCCTTTGTCAGGAAAAGGGTTTTAGCCTTTTAATAACTCACTGAAGTATCTATCCATGAGCTTTTAAAAAACTGCATATGAGATTTGCTGATCACTTGAATTTATTGAAATTACGCTGTTGTTTTTTCTTCTCACATTTCAGTGTTTTTTATTCCTGACTTCCTTTTTAATTCTCCCTTTTATTCATGTGACATAAAAACAATCTTTCAGTACTTCACACTCTTGGTTTTTTTTAATTTATATTCCACAGAGTTGATGAATGCCCATAATTTTCACTGTGAGATGGTACACAGATGTTATACTGCAGGATATATTTATCAGCTTGATTTTTAGGACAGAAAACACTAAAACTGCATGAATCTGAGTAATAATATAATTTGTCTTCAGTACATTTAATTCTGATGAACATGCTCTTCTTTCCTTCTGCAGGTGTCCATAGATTTCTCAAGCAGAAGTACTGATTTACAAATAAGAGTGGACTCTTCAAATGAATATAGTCTGCTATACACTGAACCAAAATTTTCAAAAATGGCCTGGAATTCAGTGTACCTCAAAACAGAGCAACACGATTTTGGACATTTGATTCAGGCAGGAGCTGATTTTCCCTCTAGTTCCCCCTGAAATCAAGTGGATTGCAAGTTGAAATCTGAAGATGGTTGACTAGTTCAGTACACACATTACAATGATAAAAGCCACATATGCTACATGGGATTTTTTCTTACAGAAATCCAATCTTGGTGCCAGATAAAGCTGCCACACTTTTCTATGTTTCCTTTTTCTTCTTTTTTTTTTCTCTAGTTGATCTAGAAAAGGTTGTCTAAATAATCTAAATAATGATCTAAATTAATAATTTAGATTAACAATAAATCATCACAGATACTGCTTAATTTCTTATTTATTTTTTCATTTTGTGGAATAGGAACGTATTTCTTTCTTTTGATACTTTTACTCAAAATGAATGATACCATCTTTCTTCAGTAGCTATTTCTCAGTTACTCTTATGTCAAGGATATTTTTCGAATGATATTTAGAAACCACTTCCATAATTGTATGTGCTGTTTATTTAAGCCATGTAGAATTTTAAAGTTGTCTCCATCGGCTGATGGCAGGGCACCTATCCCATAAAAGAACATGTTTTTATAATTAAAAGAGATACTGCTGTCTCTACACAGCCTTTGCCTATTACTGCCAATTAAATCATTGACACTCCATTTCTCTTTTATTGTCTGTAGTGTATGATTAAAATGCAGAAGTGACTCACTATTATATAAAACAGGTCCATATTTTGCTTCTTAAATTTATGATTCTTTTCAAACTATGGGTGTGCCAGGTCTAATGTGCATTTGGCACCACTGGGAAAGAATTTGGAAGCAGAATAAAAGTATTCATTACTTTCACCAGAATATTCCACCTATTTAAAGATCTTAAAGTAGGCGTATGAGAAATGCCTAAAAAAAATACAAATCCAGGGGAAGCAGAAAAAGAACAGGTTGGAATGGACCATATGTGAAAACTTTTTGAGTATCAGATATAAGACTTGAATAGCTGGCATAGAGAATGAAAGCTTCATTACTTCCAGATGACGCAGATGCTGCGTCTGCCTTAAAATATTGCAGAATTTTTCGAACTTCACAGCAGTAATTCTGGTGAGTTGGATGAGTAGTATTATCTGAGCTGGATTCAACAGGCTGACACTATCTGAGCAATTAAACAAAAGGGTCCTTCCTTTTATGCCAGTCTGTATGTGGGATTTTCAGTCTTAGACCTATTGTGCAATGCAGGACAGCTCATATTGGCCAGAAAAAATTGGCAATTCCATGAGAATTCCTGGAATAATTTGAATGAAAAACTAGCTGGATCAATTTACTACTAGAGTTAAAAGATGTACCTATCTATGAAAACTCATGATAAAAAATGTACTATATAATTAGAGATAATTTTCTCTTTCTTTATTTTCTTTTCCTGTATGTTCTGATGGAAATACCTTCTCTCTCTTTTTTTTTTTAAAAAGAAAAACAACTATTTTTTAACACTGTTATCTTGTAGCCATAAAGAGTTCTCAGCCATAGAATCTTTCCCTGAGATCAAAGACAGATACAGATACAATCAGGAAGTTATACTGTTTATAATTTAAAGACCACTTCTAAAATGACCCATGTTATTTTGAAAGTCATCTTAAAGTCATCTTGCCCTGGTCTTTTCACCACTCTCCTCATGAGATTTTTGTTTGTTGGGGTTTTTTAAAGCAAAGATAGCAGGTTCTGAGGGAAAACTTGGAATGTGTGTATATAACAACATAATTAGTGAATACAGTGAGCCATTGAAATTGGAATGAAAAATTTCCCACCAGATTTTATAACAGATGCTGAAGTCATGTGGATAAGCCTGCTCCCAGTCTGAACATCACGGGAAAGAGAGATCAAAAGCTTGTTCATAGCTAACTATGTCTAGGGCATGGTAAAAGAAACAAGGACAAAATTATGTTTATTTTCTGAGGGTTTTTAAAAGTGCTTTTGTCCATAATTATTTTATAGAGAACAGAAATCTTGTTTTAAAAATTTCAGGCTCAATTTGAAATTATTCATCCAGATTCTCCATAGGAACAAACATGTTGCTATGGAGATGAACCAGAGCAAAGACAAAATATACATACAGATAGATTCCCCAGAGGAATGCAATTTGAGGCATAAGTACACTGCTTAAACTCTATAAGCACTGTCCTGATATTCTTGTTTTCTCCATAAAAAGTACAATAAAATATCCCTAATCCTAAACAATCTGTTGTTTTAGCAACACCTTTTAGAAGATTAGTCATTCTTGCAGTATTTCTTTTACTTTTTTTTTTTGTCATAAAGGACAATACAGAAACTTTTTTGTTACTGCCTAAGTGCTATTAAAAGGGTAAATCAGCAATAAAGTGGATAAAACTTTTCAGACAAAAGCAGTGGTGAAGGCTTTGCTGATGTAAAGAGATCTTACATGCTGTGAGTTCAGTATTCATAACAAACGTGTAAAAATGCATTCTTTTTTCTTTATTATTATGAAATATGCTAAGCCCATGTTGAACTTCTGAGAGAGAAAGGATGAGTTCTTCTGCTCTGAAACCCATGCACTGGTCACTTGGCATAAAAAAAAAGACTTTATTAAGCTTTTGGGTAACAGGTCCTCTAGCTAGCAATTCTTCAAACAGAAAACTCATGCCAGTGTCAGTGCTGCATTTATTAAAGAGCACTATTTTACTTGCATATGCTGTCCAAAATGATATCTTCTATTTAAGATTAAGTATCTCATTGTATTAACATTTTTTTCTAGCTCTCTGTGAAACAGTAAGAATCCTAGTATATTGTTTCAAAAAGCTCATTTTTTTTTCTTGTAAGCATTATTTTCATAGTTCTCTCATTTTCTGCAAGTAGTTTGTGGAATTCAGTATACATGGCCTTTTATAGCATTGCATCACTGTGTAGCACCACAACATGAAGAAGAAAATATTCAAGCTATAGGTTAGATATATGTTTTTCATGTATACTTTATTCCTAACATCTGGAAGCTATTAAAGCAACTGGACTTCTCTTCAGGGATGTTTTAGAGACAATAAGTCACAGATTTTTAAATATTTCTCTACAGCCAGGTTTTCGAATAAACTTGACTGTGTTCTCTATCTCATATGTATTACCTAATATTGAGGTCTATCTATGCTCATAATTAATGTCATTAGAGAACTAAAATATTTGGAAGCCCTTCAAAATAACTGCTAGATCAAATGAGAAGTAGGCACCAAATTCTCTCCTCCAGAGTTCTTCTGTATATGCACAAATACCTCTTTTTTAATGAACTCCAGTTCCTTGAAAACTTAAAGGTTGAATGTGAGTTCCCTGGATCACTTGCATTTTCATTTCTAAAAATACATTTTTGGAACATACTGACATTTTTTAGTTTTTTATGGTCACTAGTGTTTGATTAAGTTGGACTGTCACCTCCTTATTTAGTTCTGGAGCAGATTGTTAAAATAATGCCCTTAGGAGTTCAGAAATATTATTTGAACCCATTCTTTACCTGAACACCAGCTGGGCTATTAAAGGCTCATTCTTAGTTACTCTCTCATTAGTAAGGTCAGGTTTCAAAGGAATATATGTATGCTTGTGAAGGTTAGTAATAGGGAAAACTTAATTTCCAAGAACTACCAACGTTCCCTGTGCTGTCTGAAACAGGCTAATTTATGTGTGTGACATAACTGGTTTCGTCCTTGGAAACAGAGGAGGAATTAATTGAAGCTTTGGAAAAGTGTAAAGGGTAACCAAGTTTCTGTAACCAGGGTATAACTAAAAGCTTAAACAGGAAGGGAAAACATTAGTGCTGTGAAAAAGAACTAAAGTTTTGCTTTTATTGAGAAAGGTATATATATGACACAGACAGGAAAATATAATCAGAAAGAAACATGGCAAATCTAACCTTTGGGCACTAATAAGAGTCACAGCTACATTAAAATCTCATCAAGCAACGAATGCACACTCCACACTACATGGGTAACAAATCGGTGGACAGTGGCAACGTTCTTTAGGCAGAAGCAGTGCATTAAAATGATTGCATTCAGGCAGCCTGAGCTACTGTACTGAAAACAAATGCACTTTCCATGTTAGCAAGAGAGATATTGAAACCAGATGCTTATTTCTAAATAAGCTGTGGCACCACCATGTATTCTTGATCATGTCAAATTTTTTGTGGTGGCAAAGAATAGCATAAAAGTGAGATATCTGAGTGTTGACATCATAGGATAAGATTAACTGGAAGCATAGAGGCCAAGAACAGAGAGGCAAGAGGTAATGCTGGAACCTCTCTTGCATTGCACAGAGTGAGCCCTTTGGTTACCCTGCTGTCACTGGTGGCACTGGCCTCCTAGTCAGAGGTGATGGTCTCCATAATTGAACCTGGCTGCTGCCAGAGTGTATGAAATACCTGCCAGGGATTTGCACAGTGGCACAGTTGGCATTCTTGAGCTATTCCATCAGGACAGGGTAGTACATTATCTTCCCTCAGTAGTCTCAAGGTAGAGGCTTTTTTTGGTATATATAGCCCTGTGTTCCTCTGAAGCAGATGTGTAAACACAACTGGAAGCTGGTGCACGTCCTTTGAAACAGACTTTAGGGGCCAATCTGGCTTTTGTTAAAAACCTGACATGAGAAGCACAGGGATGTCTGCCTTTCTGCTCTGGCATATATATTTCCTGCTGCCTCTAAAAAAGTTTCAACACATGCACACTTTGGTCATATGAAACCTGAAGCAAGTTTCTCAGAAAGCCAGGTATGAACAGTTTCTTTACATACTCTCAACGGGGAGAGGGGTTTTAGTATTGTAGTTTAAAAAAGCTTATTAAGCTACTGCTAATGGAGGTTATGTTACTTGGAGTATGTGAAAAAGAACTCTTTAAAAAAAATAAACCCACAAAAAGGCTTCACCTACCCCCACATTGAGTTCACCCAATGACAAAAAAAGCTCCCCTGTACAATGTATACAAGCTTACAGCACAATGGTTTGCACACAATGTAGGTGATAAGCAAAGCGACTGAAGAAGACAAAGTCATATCTGGAGATGAAATATAAGCTAATTGTCCTGGGTTCAGCAGTAGCAGTCATTTTTTCTCTTTCTTAGTAGCTGATGCAGTGCTGTGGTTTTGACTTTTGGTCTGGGAACAACGCTGATAACACGGATGTTTTTAGTTGGTGCTCAGTAATGTTTACTCTGACCAAGGACTTTCTGAGTCTCCTGCTCTGCCAGGGAGGAGGGGAAGCCAGGAGGAAGCAGGGACAGGACACCTGACACAAATTAGCCAAAGAGGTATTCCATACCACAGCACATCATGCCCACTACATAAACTGGGGGAGTTACTGGGCAGGGTGAGATCACTGCTCAGTCGGGCTCGATATCGATCAGCAGGTAGTGAGCAGTCGTATCCTCTCCCCTTGTTATTTCCCTTATCATTACTATTGTTGGTGGTAGCAGTAGTGGTTTGTGTTATACCTTAGTTACTGGACTGCTCTTATCTCAACCCATGGGAGTTGCATTCTTTCGATTCTCCTCCCCATCCCTCTGGGAGCGGGGGTGGGGGGGAAGTAGAGGGGGAGTGAGACAGAGACTGCGTGGTTCTGAGTTACGGCTGGGTTTAAACCACAACACTAACGAAATATAAATGTCTTACAAAATGGGAAACAATTA